CAGGCCCTTTCCTCGTGTTTGTGTGGGTTTGGCTAAAGGGGGAGCCACAGTCTGTTCTTCAAAGTTCAAAGCAACAGGCTCAATTACAAGGGTGTTTATGAAAACCCTTGCATTTCCTTTGCAACAACACAGACTGGAGCCATGCAAGGCGATGAAGGCCAACCCTGGAGGAACAGGAAGTGATGTATATGCACGGGAGAGGGTCAGGAAACAGCTTTCCCTGGGTAAGGAGAGGAATCCAGCCAACCCAAGTAAAGGCGGAGCGATCAAGACAGGGGCACAGAAAGCAAACCACACCTGACCGGTTAACTTATACTCAGTGGCTCATCACTGAGGGCTACACCTGTCACAAACGTGGGGAGGGGGGGTGTCACCAAGATGCCAAAGTCCCCTTTCAGTGGAGAAAGCAAGCACATGGTCAGCCAGTCTACACGGAACAGGCACAAAGCAAACCCCTAAGCGCTTACCACCATTTTACCCATGCTAACAACGTTTCCTATCTGGATTTTATTCCTTCTTCAGAAAAGGCTTGACGACACCCAATCAGGATGACTTCAAGGCAACCCCCTCAAACTCAGAGTGGAGCAGAGAGGCTGACTCTACACTTTTGTTATTCGGGACTGGCTTAAAAAACAAACAAACAAACAAACACACCAGCGTTACTTAGTATAAACCCTCAGAGGTGTTGCTGAACAGATCATAGCCATAACTCACTTTCCAAGTGCAGACCACGCAGCACAAGACAAGAGATAACAGTATGAGGAATTCCTGAATATGAATTGCACATGTAGGAAAGAATCTGGCCCACAAACTTCCTCTAATTAAATGCCGGTCTAATAAAATAGCATTGATGGCATGCAGATGACCGCTGCAGGGCCTGGGATAGTTGAGTCTGGGCTCTGGAACTCATTAAACGCCTTTCTTCACGCTAAAGGAATTTCTTGCCTCTTTAGTTTGCTCTTAACAAGGATCAACATGGGAAACCACAGAAGGGTCTATACATACTTCAAAATAAAATCCTACAGCACATAGTAACGTAGAGGGGCCCCAGTGTAGCTGGGAGGGTTTAATATCCATTTCTCAGTCTTTTATCCCTGGCCTTGAGATACTTTTTTTTCCCTTTAAGAGCAGTAGTGAGTAGACAGGGTCCGGAGGCCCACGTGCCTCATTCAGGCCCGAGAACTGTACGGTGCTTACTGCTCCCTGACGAGATCGACAGGCCTCGGGAAACCCTTTGGGCATCTGAATGACCACCTGTTCCTAGTCTCTCCTATGTATCTTCACAGCCAGCCCTGCCATTGGCTTCACGTACCTTAGTTCAACTTTACACACTGTAAGTCCACTGATAAAGCTTGGGGAAGCCTTCGAGCCTGAGGTCTCCCCATAGTCAGAGCACAGGGAGGCTGGGAAGGGGTACTGGCTTCTCTGAGCTTTGCACAGGGGCAGCCAGGAGGGTGCACCACCCAGCAACACTCGGCCCGCTGCAGGTGTGCACTCTCTGACTAGTGTTCTGGAATCTTTGCGAGTGGAAGATAAGCTTCCGTGAGGACAACACGTGACTGTCCATCCTCAGCGTGACGGGGTATGTGACCTTGGGACAAACCTGTCCCTAGTTCTTTTTAGGCACTAATAATTCGTTTGTCCGTCACCTTCACAAATATGGTTTGGCTGGTACAAAACCAGTGAAGAGAAAAACTCCACTATGCACAACAGACACCTGGGCACGCAGGGATGCGTCAACAGCTTTCAAAACACTGAGGCAAAACAAAATAACTGCAAGGCCATGCCCGGCCTTCAGGGACCATATGTACTGTTTTCTGTAACTGCAAGGCCATGCCCGGCCTTCAGGGATCATATGTACCGTTTTCTGTAACTGCAAGGCCATGCCCGGCCTTCAGGGATCATATGTACTGGTTTCTGTTATAATCACATGACAAGGCAGACACAACTCATTCCCATTTCATTAGAGACTCCTGTATAAGTAGAGATAAGGAGAAGTCCTTTAAACAAACCACTGTCACAATTAAAACAACCAAACGACTCTGCTCAACTCCTACCTGACTTAAATTTTCCTACCGCAAAATGGTAGCTTTTCCTAAAACCAGACAGAATACAAAAACATGTTAAAACTTCACCCTCTAGCACAAAGAGCAGCTATTTGCTTCTAGTTGTCTTTGACGTTCAAGATTTTCACATCTAACTTTAATTAGCGATGCAGACAAGCGTCTCCAGAATTAAAGCGTGCAGCCTGGAAGGTCTGCTGGCATTAAGAAATCACAAGAGAAAAGAGCTGAAGTCAAAGGGTGGGGGACAATGAACTCTTCGGCACAATACTGTGTGAATTGCAAAGTCACCTGGCTCCCTGGAATGAGCTTGCTCATCCACAGGGAAGGCATGCCTGGGTGACGCGGAAGCCTCTGTACAGCCCTCTGAATGACAAGTCTGGGGAGACTAAGTCGATGAACAACGGCCAACCCCTCTCCTGACTTCAGCTAGCTCCACAGCTCATGCACTGAACCAGCTGATCAAGAGAAAGCAAAAATGCTTGCATTTTAGAACATGGATGAAGTCTTCTGAATGTTTTAAACTTGGCTTCCCAACATTCCTGCTTGACCTCACTTCCTGAACAAGCTCAGCCGCCCCCACCCCCCACCCTTCGATGCGGTCACAGGAGGCATCTCCTAAGACCAGTGGCCTGGCGGCGCCCTAGCAACTCATACCAGAACTTAGCAAGTTACTTCAGATCTAAAAATTTTGTCCTATGATTAAAAAGTTATCAAAGACTGAAAAATACGAATGGAGGCATTTTTAAAAAGTTCTTAGTGCTTGTGGTACGCTCCTCGTTCTCTGGCAGGTAAGGCAATGACCTTGCTAACCTTACTACGTCCCCACAGATCCCCCAGCGCCATCAGGTCTGACGGAGAAAGGACCCTGCCTGCATCCACAGAGCCATCTGGGAAGGCCATGCTGAAAGCCTGGCCTTGGGTGACAACCGGGCACCACTCACGCGGCAACGGCCCAGGTGATACCACAGTACAGTTAAGGAAAACCCAGTGTGAACCCCAGCCCCTTGGATCCCCACTGTAGGAGGGCTGGATACCACGCAGAGGCCCCAAGATTTTGAAGAAGTCACAGAAATATCCAGGTGTCGGCTGCTCATGAGAACACACAGAACCAAGGACAGTGAGTGCAGGGCAGTGTGTGACTGACAGGAACACGGCTGGAGACTACAGTACCGCCCATGGGAAGGTATTAATTTTCCCTACCCTGCCAATCGGCAGCATCCCTGGATCACTGAGAGGTTTAGAAAGTAAAGAGAGCCATTTTCTAAGAAGAAACCTAATGACTTGTCCCATCGATGAAAACCCTAACCCAATCATCTATTCCAGGTAGGGCTGTGCCTGGAGATCTGACAAGTCTGATAGCATTTCACAGGAAACCAAAAGGACCCCAGAGTCTTCCCATGGAAATATCCCGTTACTCTTGGGTATAATTTAACAACACAATCCCAGCTGGCAACCAATTCCACCCGGGTCTCACATTTGTTCATGCCTCTTCATAGGTCCCAGAAAATGCCGCCCCCCTCCCCCGCCACTTTTAAAGAGGGGGAACACTTTTCTGTGGTCTTGGTGACCTTTAAGTCACAACTCTCGGCCAATAGGAGGGAACCTACACACATACACAACTGAACACACACAGGAAATCACCATGTAAATACAAAACACCGTTCACGCTGACTGATTCATTGTAAGGTATTTCCTACTCCCTCCACCCAGTACAACAAACCTTCAGTAACTTGTGGCTAGGTTTCCTGTATACCCTGCACCATGCTTTCTAAAAAGCCAGCCACTTGTGTGAAGTTTGGGGAGTCGGGCGTGACCCATAAATATGTACCCCGTCCCAAACTTCATCTAACAAATATTGACTGAAGAACGAACAGGTCACTGGAAAACGGACCCTCTGTGCGGCAAGCCTGGATTTATGGCTCCGTCTAATCAACAGATGACCACCTGCCTTCCAGACTACTCACTTATCCCTGCCTTCCTCCTCACTCAGCCGCAAGCCATGCAAGCCCTTCTGACCGTTCGGCTTGGATGCGGAACTCGGACTTGTTGGGCAACCACGTGCCTGGGACCTCCTCGAAGGGCTCGGCACGGCAGAGTCCGAATCACTGGATTCAGTACCACTGCCGGTGGAGCACTCGGTCACTTGTAGAGGTGCCAGCTGGCCCACCACGTGTCCAGAGCCCACAGCCTGCACGAGGGGAACCTCTGAGCTGGAGCCCGTGACAGCGGTACCGTTGGCTAGCACCCTGCCTGGGAGAGCAGCCATGTTGGCCAACCCTTCCTCCTCCTGGTCACCAAGCCTATCAGTGGACTCTGGGGTGGGGGCTGCCTGGCTAAGGATGAGCGGATCGGTCTCTGACTTATTGTACCTACTGGGAAGATTCCGCAAGTAGGGCCTCTGCAGGGCAGGGGAACAGTTATCATAGGGAGGACCCCGCTTAGGGGCGGGATCTTCTCCCATACCCTTCCCCCTGAGGTCATGTCCATTTTCAGAAACATAGCCTTGGGAGCCGGTCCTATCCCAACTCATATTTGGACTTGAGCTTCTGCTGCAGGCAGACAGTGGGGTGGCCGGGGGGCTGTGGCCAGTGGACGCCCTGAACAGCTCAGCTATCGGGGAACTATGCCTTGGGAGCCCAGGGCTCCCGCTCAGATCAAAGGTGATATCTACTGAATCGTCATCAAGGAACTCTCTGGAAGTAGGCCGGGAGCACTTTGTGGAGGGAGGGGACGCCCTGTGCCTGGCCTCTGCTTGCCTCTCGTCTCTGGACAGCAGGTACACCCCACTGGTCACGTCACACTCGTAATTGTCGTTTGTCTGGGACCGTGACTGGGAGCCTGGTTCTTTGAGAAGGCCGTATTCACTATCTACATCGCTACCGTCGATGAAGGGGATGGAAGCATTACTGCCTCCAGCAGCCTGGGGTGCTGGACCTGTGCTTGGCTGCGGGGGCTGACGTTTACTTGGCTGGGCGCCCTCCTTGCCACCCTCCTCCTCTTCCTCTTCCTCGGGCGGCGCCATGGCGGCTCCGTCTGCGGCTTTGCTCCCCCGAGGGCTCTTAGACAGGGTAGGGCTGTGGTGCGGTCCCGACTCCAAGGCAGACACTTTTGCTCTCTTGGCTTGCTGGCAGCTCTGGCCGCTGGGAGACTCAGAACCTTCTCCAAACGTAAAGCTGGCGCTCTGTGGAGACTGGGTAGAGAGGACAGGGGAAGGAAGTGGGGTTTAATTGGAAAGTACCTCCAGAAGCCGGAAGGAATGGCGTGTAGAGGACCAGCGTGGCCTCCCCGGAGCTGGGACCGTGGGCTCAGACAAAGACGCTTGATCCACGAGATGGAGACATGCATGCGGCTGGGTCCCCAGCACATGAGTTATACACTGCTTTCCAGAACCGTCATCTCACGTGGGGATTTCAGGGGTCTATGGGGCAGATGGCTTTGGGCCCGAGAAAGCTAGGAAGGGCCAGCAGAGAGGCCCATGATGGCTCATATGACGACAGGCCACAGACAACTGCACTTAGGGGGAGGGGTGGTGCCACAGTCACTCGGTAAAAACACCTTCATGTCCTTCCTCAAACAAAGTTTTGGTCTCTCTGAGAGAAAAATGCAGAAAACAGTACAATGACACACCAGCATTGGGGTCAGCGAGCGCTTGCCACACACAGAGCAGGGGTGAGAATTTTCCTGCTGTTGCTTGGCCACTGCCCCGTAACACATGCCCTTGGGACTCTGTCAGCAGAGTCTTCTGAGCAGGAACTGCAATGGTTCAAGGAGGAAGAACACACACCCTGCGTCTGCTCAGTCACACAGCAGACGCATTCAGCTGGTGGGCAGGCCTGGCCTCGTGGACTGCCACGCACGTACGCTCAATCCCCCGGCTCATGAGGTTTGGAGCTAAAAGGCGGAACAGCGGCCGAAAAGCCACACGCAGGCTGTGCACTTCAGAGCCCAAAGCCCGCTCGGGACCATCTGCGCAAACGCCCAGAGCAAAGGAGGCTGTGCTTGTCCATGGCTACACACTGACCTGTTTTGGCACTTCTGCACTCGACGCTGTGGGCTGTGAAGCAAGGCTCCGAATGGAATGGATCTTGCTGTGTTTTCTGAGGGGGAAATCACACAAGATAGCTAATGTTAGGGCAGCTTTGGTTAACTGAAGCAAATGCGTTGTGTTTGAGGCATCGGGTCACTCTTCAATCATGAAGGTACCCAGAGCCACCTTTGTGAAGGTGATATTTTCATAACACCCGTGTAGTCCAGGGTCACACATCACATCCTGGTCTAGCTGCTGAAGAACCACGGATGGCTGAGCTCTGCCTGTCAGCTGTTGGCAAAGTGAGGAGATAGAAGACACCAGGCAAAGACTCTGAACTAACTGCAGGCCGACAATACGGCATTAATTTGTGCATTAGGTTCAACAGGTTTCCTATGTCAGATCCATGACAGGGGTAATGACCACAGACCATCTCACAAAATGTAAACCCAGGAGAAAAAGGTTACCCTCAAGGAAGGGACTATAGTGCCACCACACAGACCCTTTATCTTGTCCTCCTCATCCACTGCACAGGTATTAGAAGCTTCACAAGTACTGAACTCAGGAGATGGTATAAGTACATTCCAGTGTGTACATATCTTTTCTTCACATGGGAAGGACATCTATACGGACAATCAGAGCTACTTCTTGTGTGGTCTTCAACATGGCAACTGCTAATCATCTAAGAAAGTGATAGGATTATTATTATTTTGTTGTAATTGTCGTTATTGCTATCATTGTCTTTGATGAGCTAGTGGCTTGGATACACTGGCAAAAGCTTCCTGACATCACATTTCTGGGTATAGGACATGAGAAACCATGAGGGACTCAGGGCTTATTTTAGCAGAATTAGAATAAAGCATCAAAATGACGTAAGCATCTGTTAACAGAGTGCGTTCAGTAAGATGTAAATTAAAAGATTAATTAAAAAAAAGATACATACCCTAACATCCTAGAGCTCAAAGACAACAAGTTAAATGCAAATCAAGTGTTAATGTCTTGTATGTATGTCTTTAAGTAAGTATGAAACACCACATACAGTAACTACTGAACCCCAGAAGAAGCATAAATCTAGAAGGTTCTTTTGGAAAGAGAGGTGGGAACTCAAAAAGGGTGTGACCCAAGGTAGTTTTATCTACTTCTGTTAGTCATAGAACAAACAGAAAAAAAACTCCTTGAACAAAATATGCCAAATACTAACATATGCTGGGTACCCTTTCCTCTGAAGTTTGCAACAGCAGTATTTAGGTTTTGGAATATTTGCACTTACATAATGAGATAGCTTGGAAACAGCATCCTAATCGGAACATGAAGTTCATTTGTTTTGCATGCACTTATACATCTAGCGTGAAGGCGATTTTATATGATATTTATAATTTTTGTGCATTTTTGACAGGGACCAAGTGTGGGATTTTCCACACAGATGGAGGCCAACTGTCAGATTTTTCCATCTCTTCAGACTTCAAGGTCAGAGTGGCTGGCTAGCCCCGCACTTGTAAACGCCAAGCTGTAAGGACATACGGGTCCACTACACCCTGTCTATATGCTATGGGAAACATTCAATGTACTAACGTGAAAAGCAGGAGGAGGTTAAAAACGAACACTCACGGGCAGCTGCTAAGGCTCAGGCCATGATTTCACACCTTGCCTTCATGTTAGTGTTGCTTGGGCTCTGCTGCTCAATTGGGCACTGACAGGCTCTAGGCTCTGGCTAGTCCACTTTCCAGTTAGGAGACCTGTGCTTCTCACTTTGTGTTCACCTCAAGGTCTCCATGTTTAAGCAGAAAATAAATGAGCATTGCCATAGCCAGATGGAAGCCGGGGGCTCTGAGCAGAGACTGGCAGATACCTGGAGCCACCTGCCGCCAATAGCCATAGCCATAGCCAAATGCTGAGGGTTCTCTCCCAGCCTTCCCTAACTAAAGGTAGCAGAAAATTCACAAGTCACATCCTCTATCACAGGCCTGCTAGCGAGATACTGTCATCTCCTCATTGGGCCAACTCAGCTCTCTGTCGGCTCTTACCCGCTCACCTGCCTATCTTGAGAGAGCGCCCCGGGGCCTAAAATGTTCTCGTCTAACCCTGGACTTGCTGAGGCTGACTGAGCAGTTGCCTGTGACTCACCCAGGCTGGATGAAGAAGTCTTAGTATTCCTGGGAGAGAATGGCTGTGGCCGGAAGAGCCCCTTACCTTTCGAACTGCACCTTCTTGTGGCCTGCTTCTTTAACGTAGTCCAGAACCTGCTTCTGAGTCCGACCACTGAAGCAACAAAGACCACAGGAGTAAAGAGAGGTGACATGGGGGTATTTGCATATAAACACAACTTCTTTCTGGCAGCCTTTAATCCCAACAGAGGCAGGCAGATCTCTGTGAGTTCAAGGCCAGCCTGCTCTACAGAGTGAGTTCCAGGACAGCTGGGGGCGTACAGAGACACCCCACCCACCCACCCCTCGTATAAACCGAAACCAAAACCACATCTTCTCAGTCAGGTTTTAGGAAGGAAAACAATCCTCAGAATCTTGTGGTTTCTGTTCACTTGATCTCTTGCTACTCTTCCTTGTATTAGTAAGACAAAAACATTCAACTAAATAAACCCACTTAACCATGGCTGTGCGGCCACCAGCTCAGGGGTCTGTGTTCCTTAAAGTACAGCGGCAGCATTGTTTGGAAAATAAACGAAAAAACGTGAACCTAAGACGGGCAAGCCCACGCAATGCCTAAGGCTTTTATAAATAAATTCCTTTCTGCATGAGAGTGGCTAGGGGATTGGCTCGGTGGTAAAGCTCTTGCCTGAAATGCACATGGGTCCTGGACTCCAGCCCCCAGAACTGTTTAAAAAAAAAAAAAATAAAAACAAACTCACACAAGGAGCTAAAGGCAACTGACAGAGGAAGTCAGTTTTCTTCGGGACAGGTTGGCCGTGTTCCAGTGGGCGGTCCTACACCCAGCCACAAATGGGCAGTACTAAGTAGACACAAGGGGCCTAAAAAAGGCTACGAGAAGGAAAAGTGATGGATGTACAGAAGAAACTGGAGGGGTAAGAGTGGGCATGGCCTTGATCAAAACACACTGTATTCCTGTGTGAAACTCTTACATCATATATACATACATACATACACACTAATCTAGAGACTTACGCTGGGATTTCACTGTTACTGGCAGATGGCTATGTAGTTCCCAAAGGTTTGAAACAAAACCTAGGAAGGTGACATGGAGCTGGCTGGGACAAGCAAGCCAGTGCCTCCATTGGCCACAGACCCCTCACCTGAACCGGAATGACGACCCCCGGCTGAAGAGAACGGGCTTTGGTTTGGGTTTGGGTTCTTCGAAGAGTCTAAAAAAGGCATGATGCTCCACACAGATTTTCCAGAAGGCCTTGCAGAAGTCTCGACCGGCCATCAGAAATTCCAAGGTGTCTTGGTAGGAGCTCTGCAAAGGAGCCAAGCACAGCTCATAGGCATTCTGCCGAAACTCCAGGAAAAAAACAACAGAAACGAACTTGTCCATTAAATCGTTAACTGTGTGTTTAATCACAAGACCATTAGTTCAAAGACGGCAGAATATGATTGTTCCCAATGACGAGACAGGGACACTTTTCCTTCTCTGCAGACTTCCTTATGGGAACGAAGGGGAAGCAGGCACATACATGGACTGCGTAGGGCCGTAACATTTCTTGGTAGAATCCATAAACAAACCGCGTTTTCTTGGCTTCTGCTACCTCCTTAAAAATAGTTCAAGTATTAACACACACCCCCTTCCTTAAAATATCTTTCTTCTGTGTTCTTCCTCATGGCTCCTATCCGGGTTGACTTTTAATTCCACTGCAGGTGGTCCCAGAACGGCAGAGGAAATGAAATCCACCCCCACCAGCGCCCCCACTAAAAAGGCATTGAAGGCTCTCAGCTGACTAACTGGCGTCTTTTGATTCTGGGAGGAATATGGCAATTTTCTACTCCTACACTTAATGCTTCCAATTTCAGTGGCCGTGTTACATAAACAAAAGCTCCCAGAGTCCTCCGTGTTCCCAGCAACTCTGACTATTTTGGGGGCTCTCAGAGTTTGCACAAACTCAGCTTACCGTGTATATGCCGCGGCCATTCCCGCATAAACCAGCTTTCTGGAACAGCAATTGCATTCCCCCACAGAAAAGCGTTTATTGTGGGGTCTGCTTCCCAGGCAGGCTTATTAATCCACCCAACACACTGCATCTGAATTCTGAACCTACACTGCCCTGGCCACCCCTGCCCCATGGGATAAAGGACTCAGTTCCAGATGGCGTCAGGGATGTATCAGTCATCTGCTGTGTGGCTTCCGGCTTTCAAGAACCCATCCTGTATGGGTGGCACCTTTGGGGTTCTGCGGGAACCATGAGATGTAAAGCAGCAACAGGGATGAGCAGGTCAGGCCTGCTGCGCAGGTGAGGTCCCGGACGGGGCCACAGGATGGCTGAAGTTGTCTAGAGGAAGGGAAAGGGTCTTCCCCGTAGGCATGCATCTCTCTATTCTCCCTCCCAGAACACGCTTTCCGTGTTCCCGGTTCCCGAGCGACTTACGTTCACATCCGGTCGGAGCTTGATAAGAAAGCGCTTCCTCTTGAAACTCAGCTTCCGCACCTTGGCCCAGTTGAAAGCATTGATTTTTGTGAAACCCTAGGGAAAGAGAGCCAGCCATGAGCCAGGACATGCACACAAGGCCCACGGGGACCCCGGACAGAGAGAGGGCCGAGGGTCAGGGAAACCCTCTGATGGACGGTTCCCAGACTCTGTGTCTGCTGGGTGCCATGCACCCTCACACTGTTATAGAATTCGGCATTCAAACCCCATCTGCCTTCATGTAGGGAGGACACTGGTCAAGGTAATGAAGATAAATACAACGAAACCATGACAACCACCAATAGCAAGCATCTCTCACGGAGGACACACACACACACACACACACACACACACACACACACACGAGTGTACATGCACACATGTGTGCATGTGTGTATGAGTATGTGTGTGAGTGTGTGCACACATGTGTGTGCTCACATGTGTGTATGTGAGTGTGTGTGCATGAGCGTGTGCATGCACACGTGTGTGCATGTGTGTATGTATGTGAGTGTGTGTATGCACATGTGAATGTGTGCGCTTATGAATGTGTGTGCATGTGTGTTAGTATGTGTGTGAGTGTATGTGTGTATGTGAGTATGTGTGAGTGTATTGTGCACATGTGAGTGTGTGTGTATGTATGTGAGTATGTGTGTGTACGTGTGTGAGTGTCTGTGTGTACATGTGTGAGTGTGTATGTGTGTGTGTGTGTGTGTGTGAGTACGTGTGTGTGTATGGCATGTAAGAGAAAGAGGAGGGAGAGAGCAGGCACGCTTGCATGTGCAGGCCAGAGGTCACGGAGACAGGGTCCTGTCGCTGTGGAGACGCTGACTTGAGTGGCCTGCTGGGCTCCAGGAACACTCCTGTCCCCTCCCGGCGCTAGGACCCCAGGCTCATTTCAGTCGGTGCTCGCTGGCTCAGGTCGCGTGCTTTGCCACGCTGGCTCAGGTCGCGTGCTTTGCCACGCTGGCTGCCACGCTGGCTGCCACGCTGGCTGCGGCTCACAGAAGCATGGGCCGTGCACATCCTTACACTTTAAATCTGGGCAAAATCTGACCAATTCCTAAAAGTAGGTGGACGCTGTCTACATGCCCTCTCAAATACAGACTACCTGCTTATGTTCACTTTCAAAGCGGCATTTGTTTACTTATGTGTGGGAGGGGCACACATCAGCTGTGGGGGTCAGAGGACAACGCAGGCAGTCAGGTGACTTCCTACCTGTCCCGGGGATTGACCTCCGGGCCGAAGGCTGGGTGGTGGGTGCTTTGACCTAGGGACCGACGTCACTGCTCCTGCCCTGCTTGTTTAAGGAAACGTACTGTGGAAGCATTGGGGGCAGGGATTGCGGTTTGGATACAGTTTAAGTGTGTCCCCTAAAGGCTCACGTGTTGGGGATCTGGTCACCGTGTGGCAATGTTAAGAGGTAACAGGATCTTTTAAAAGAGGTTCCAGTGAGTGGTCCTCAGGAAAAAGGAATTACTACAGTTCTCAGGAGACCGCAGTGGCTGTCTGGCTTTCTGAGGTGGCTGTGGTCTTCCCCTCTGGTATGTGCCCTGGCCTTGTATCACCTTGCTGCGTGGCGAAGAGTGCAGAGAGAGGGGTCAGGACCGTGGCGGGCTGTTTGGAACTTCAGTACATCAAACTGGGCACGTGAACCTCTTCCTACCCGCTAACTGACTTGGGTAGTTTAGCCTAACAGAAAAGGGGTTACCAACACAAGGGTGTTCACTGCTGTGTTTTTACAAGATTCAAATGACTGAATAAATGAACCTTCGAAGCCGCACGCTGACTACGGGCAGGCGTGCAAGTCATACGTGAAGGAAGACAGGAAGTGGAAAGCAATGGTGAAGAAAGCCATCCCATAGCCAGGCGGTAAAGAGCACACTCAGGAGCAAAGGGACACAATGTCTTAAGGACAGGACAGGTTAAGAGTGGGGGGGGGGCTGGGGACTGGGGGCTGGGGGCTGGTGTTGCACCCATTTAGTCCCAGCACTGGGGAGGCAGAGGCAGGCGGATCTCTGTGAGTTCGAGGCCAGCCTGGTCTACAGAGCAAGTTCCAGGACAGGCTCCTAAGCTACAGAGAAACCCTGACTCAAAAAAAAAAGCAGGAAAAAGCTCAGGGACTGAGTCTATCTTGCTGGAAAATTACATGGTGCTGGAAAATTACTATGGTGCATTGTAAGGTCTGTTATTTCTCGAAAGCACGTCTGCTTTTAAAGCGGGGTGTAACAGAGTCCCAAATAAGCTGGTCAAACACAAATGAATTTGAGAGGAAAAAACCGAGAAGGATCAAATTTTAACTAAGGGTCAAGATGTCTGTCGCCTCCGAGTATGGAAGGATTTATCTGGGGTGTGAGCCCATGGCTCCTTTGGCTGTATTCTCAGCACGGGCCTGTTGGGAGTCATCAGGGTCTATGCTCTGAAACCCAAACAAATCCCTCTAAGCAGGAAGAGGAGGAATGCATAAGCGAGCAGACAGGCAGGCAGACAATCCAGAAGCTGGAGGCCCGGGTGAGTTTGCCTCCTCTTGTTCACTGGGAAATAAGCACCAGGCCTCAGCCTGGCCACCCACATGACCCCGGGGAGATCAGCCCACACCCCTCCCTCCCTCCCTCACCAAGGGAAACGCGCTGTGCTCTCCACACCTGAAACACTAGGATTCCCGTGTTGGCGACAGCCAGGTTGATCTTGGTACCTTCCCTGTCCTTGGCAGGGTGCAACCGGATTCCGTACATCTCCAGCCGACGGGCCACCTCCAGGAGCTGGAAATCCGACTCTGCTGGGGTTTGTCCACTGAGAAAGCAAGGGAGGGAGAGAGTGGCTGGAGCTTGAGTTCCCCGTGTCTAATAATTTCAGATTAAGCGGCTGCTCCGGGGAAATCAAAGGCTGTCCGATCAGATGGCACCCAGCCTCTACCTACTAACCCCAAAGCCTCACGGGGAGGACAAAAGCCCTATTGCCACGGTAACCCAAAACCCACGGTCCCTCTCCCAAGCCAGCCAATTTCTTAGGATCTCAGTTTCCTCTAGGTCACGCTAAACTAAAACACTACTGTGTTAAGCAACTTCTCGGCCACTTTGACGTAAGCTGAACCTGGGAGCAGAAAGCAAAGCCACTTCTAGTATCAGCAGGTGCAAATGTCTGTCTCTGAGCCTCAGAAGGAAGGCGCTGGGTGTCCTCCTGACCTGACCAACCCAGACCCAAAAAAAAAAAAACGGGGATATCATGGACGTTCTGGAGTTTTCCCACATCTAACACCACGTGTGGCTCGATGCGTGCATCCCCGTGGTCCGGCAAGGTGATCACAGCCCCCGCATTCTGGGGTCACCCTGCCTCAGAGCGAGGGTATCAGACACCTCTGTACTTTCTGACGGTCCAGAATGGACCACAACACCCCAGCGAAAGCCTACACCCCTTCCTTCAGCCTGTTACATGTCACACAATGTACGTATGGGTGCACACGCATGCACACATGTACACCCTTGCACCAGGAGGCAGAAAGCGACAGGAACCCATGCATGCAACTCACATGTGGCCGTGGTGGAACTCCACGATCTTGTCTTCTAGTGCATCCTGTTGGGGTATGTACTTATTTTTTGCTAAGTGTTCTCTGTCCGATGCTTCATCAAAATCCCCAATCTCGGCTACAAAGGAAGAGAAGGGGAATGTCTGTCAGACTCCTGGGGGCGTGCCTTCTCTGTGCACCCTATTACCTGTGTAACAAGCTACTAGAGGGCAGCATAGTGGCCAGGGCCCTGCAGTTAGGGAAAGCAAGGGTGTGGTTGCTATGGAAACGCCTGCCACATCCAGTCCATTCAGCCACTGTCATTAGCACGGCCTCGGAGACGCTCCACATCCCTCTTCCCCTCACTTACTGGCTGCCTCTGCTGTAGGTGGTGACTGTGTCCCCTAACTACCTTCTCTGGACGGAATTCCCATTCCATCACAGAAACCGTGCACAAAGCTGAAGGATGCCCTGGCCTGCAGTGGCCCAGATGGAGGCTTCGGTCTCGTCCACCTGGCCTTCAGCAAGCAGTGTAGATTCCTGGTATTCAAGGCAGATACGGGGGCTGGACCGATAGAGCACTGGCTGCTCTTGCAGAGGACCTGGGTTCTGTTCCCAGCACCCATGTGACAGCTCACAACCATCTCTAACTCCAGGGACCCTGTGCAGTCTTGGTGCCTCTGTGGGTACCTGGCATCCAGCCAGGGAGGCAAATATTCAAAGTAAAAATAAACAGAGGCAGGGGAGATGGCTCAGTGGTTAAGAAGACCTGTTGCTCCTTCAGAGGACCTGAGTTTGGATCCCACACCAGAAGGCTCACAACCACCTATAACGACAGCGAATTTTATGCTCTTCGGCCTCTATGGGCGCCCACACACACAGCATATGCATAAATTACACATAAATTTTAAAAAGTAATCGTGAGTTTTAAAGTCTCTGCGGACAATGAATTAGCCATCAGTGCATGCTGCTCTGAAGGGAAATATGAGATCAGATGCCTAAAGAACTTGAGACATCGTCATGAACCGACTTTGGTTTTTCTGTGTGGCTGTATTTAAGGACACATGCCTGATCCTTCCACACGGCACTCATGGCCAAACGGAGCCCACTGAGCATATGTATTTTCTCTATGATGTGTATCACACTACACTCAGGGATGAAGGGGACACTTCAGCATCATGTGAGGGCCAGTTTAGACAACAGCTAAGTCACCAAGGACAGCATAAAAATTCGAAAAGTGTGGCACTAAATGGGCCACGGGAAGGGTCCAGAGCGTAGGCAGGGCTTCCTCCTGCTGGGCCTCAGCTGATGAGGAGAATCAGATTTTCCCTGTCCTGGGTGCGTCTGCAAAGGACGCTGAAGGCACAGTATTGCTCTGGGGATAAATCTCAGCGACTGCGCAAGTCTGAAATGAGACTATCAGAGTAGCGAAGGCAAAGTTCTAAATTTCGTAGGGGACTTCAGTTTGGGAAAAGAGCAAACTCTTTTCCATCCTGATGACAGACGCGTGGTCGGTTAAGGGTTCAGGTTTTCCTCCAGTATCAGGGTTAACATGAACCCCGGTCTCTTCGGTCTCTTCCTGGAGACTTAGACTCCTCTAACACAATGGCTGCCCAAGAGCAGAATAAACTTGCTTCCGAGCGCTCCACTCTGCGAATTACTTGAGACCGGAGGGAAACCTGCAGTGTTTTATGTTGCACCCTAACACTAATGACACATACTCAGCGATGAGTACTAAATCCAAGAGCAGGACAAAGCAGATTTGGTGCACTTGTCCTCTGCCCATCCAAGCTTCTCCTTTGAGACAACTGAGACAATACGGTGTATCTGTCTTGAAAACAGATCTAGTGTCCGCAGAACACAGAGGTCCAAAGTGATGTTTGAGGATGTGCCATTAAATGGAGTTAGTGTCTCTGCCCTACCAGGGGCACCCGCGGTAACGGCAGAAACAACCCAGACATTCTTAACTGTGCTTCTGTGTGCCTGTGACTTCTCCTCAACCAGGTCAGCGTGTGATTCCAACAGGGCTGTCGAAGGAACAAGAGAACTTACACTGTACAATGTGTGAGATCAGGAGGGCGGCGCTGGTGTCGTTACACGTCAGCCTGCCCTGAGCCAAGTCCTGCTTCACCTGCAGAGCAAACAGGTACCTGTAAAGGTCAACAGAGAGACGGAGTCACACAGAGGCAACCGGAGGGTCGGCATCCAGAGGCAGCGTCGTCCTGGCAATCTGAACGCACGGTAAGGAAGCTAGAGGGAAGCACGTAAAACCGAGTAAAGAGAACGCCTATAGAAACTGTTAACTCAGTGCTAGCTTTTCATGGAGGCAAGCCCTCATCAACCCATCAGAAGGGGCCTCCCGAGCCAACTCTGTCACAACCTGGCCACAACAATGGTTACAATAAACGGAAACGTACTGAATTGTAATTATGAACTAATGAAAATTCAAGATTCCACGGTGATTGTGGGTTGGTGAAGAACATAAGAATTTTAACATACCACTTCCCACGATCTATTATTCATAGAACCCCTTATCCAAAAACAGGTCTCTGACCGGTGCGTTAACAGCATAAAGGTTACTGAAATAACCAACCAGAGGTGATCTGAAGCCTGTGTCACTGGAGGGAGTTCAGGCCCGGCACTGAAACCTGCTCAAAAGCCTATGGCCTGGGAGGGAAGCTACTACTGCTTTCTGACTAAATGGATGTGTCATAAAAATGCTTTCTAAGTAAGTATGTTTATACCCATAGATCCTCTCAGCCTCGGCCACAGACGCCTCTTTCTTCAGTGGGCAGCAGTACAGAGATTCATGATGAAATTGAGTGGACACTCAGTGCTTCCCCTAAATGGGGCATTTGCATCATTCCCACACCAGGACTCAGGGACACCACAGAGCAGGGGGGTCAAGCAAGAGCCGGGGGCCGGGGAGCACCGGGGCGGGGAGCACTGGGAGCACCGGGGCCGGGGAGCACAGGGGCCGGGGAGCACCGGGCCGGGGAGCACCGGCTGGGGAGCTGAGATTAAAGGCATGCGCCACCACCTGAAGAGTCTTAATGTAGAAAACAGACATACAGGACAGTCGGGGGGAGTTGAGAAATTTGAGTTCAATGAGGGTAGTCTATAACATGACAAATACATGTGTCCATATAAATATACATACATATATATATACATCATGCTAATTGACACACAAGACGGATGAACTACTTCTATGTTCTCAGTCTCAATCAACTGTTACAACTTTCTGTAGCACAGCTACTGCTTCGTAAAACAAAAGATTGCTTTATTACACTGTGATGGTGTTGGGTGGGACTGGGGTCTCACACATGCCAGCTGTGGTGGATCGGATGACAGTGTCTCACACCCATGGGCCTGGATGTTTGACTGTTTGGTTACCAGGACATGGTGCTGCTGGGGAGGCTTAGGAGGTGTGGCCCCGTAGGGCAGGCTTTGCGAGTTTGAAGACTACTGACTTGTGTGTCAAGACGTGAGCTCTCAGCTTGCTGCTCGGCCACCACCGCCTCTCACAGTCTGGAACCATCAACTGTTTTCTCTTAGTTACCTTGGCTGTGCTGCAGTATCATAGCAACAGAAAAGTGACCAATGCACAAGGCTGGTACTGCTTCTGACTACATCCTAACTGATTCTAGAAGAAGAAAAACGCAGTTAACAGAAGCAAACACACAGAGTTCCGTAAGACCTGCACAGCATACACTGCTGAGTCCAGCAGGCTCGCCATGGCGATGGACTGTCCCAAACCCATGGTTACACGGACGGACAACCCTGATTAAACCGTGTGTGTGTGTATGTGTCTGTGTCGGTGTGTATCTGTGTGAGTGTGTGTGTGTGAGTGTGAGTGTGTGTGAGTGTGAGAGTGTGTGAGTGTGTGAGAGAGTGTGTGTGAGTGTGTGAGAGAGTGTGAGAGAGTGTGTGAGTGTGTGTGAGAGAGTGTGAGTGTGTGTGAGAGAGTGTGTGAGTGTGTGAGAGTGTGTGAGTGAGTGTGTGAGTGTGTGAGTGAGTGTGTGAGTGTGTGTGAGTGTGTGAGTGTGTGAGTGTGTGTGAGTGTGTGTGAGTGAGAGTGTGTGTGAGTGAGTGTGTGTGAGAGTGTGTGAGAGTGTGTGTGAGTGTGTGTGAGAGTGTGTGTGAGTGTGTATGTTTCTGTGTATGTGTGTGTATGTGTGTGAGTGTGAGTGTGTGTGTGTGTGTGAGTGTGTGTGTGTGAGTGTGTGTGTGTGTGTGTGTGTGTGTGTCAGGGTGCTGGGCTGACAGGGTTAGAATGTAACAGTAGTGAGAATGGATTTATACACAAGTACGAAACTGTTGAAGAATAAATTTATCAGGTAGATTGATAATCCACGGTGAGGAAGTTAACTGTAACATTTCAACAAATAGTAACTTAAAAATTAATGACCAGGGCAGGATGTGGTGGTGGTGCACACCTTTAATCCAAGCATTTGGGAGGCAGAGGCAGGCAGATCTCTGTGAGTTCAAGGCCAGTCTGGTCCACAGACAGAGTTTTTAAAAAGTGACCATTGCATAGATAAAAAATAAAATCACAACACTCGGGAACTAGCAGCTGACAGCAGGGACCTTGGCTGAGTTCCTTCCAGGAAGAAGAGCAGGGAACAGGAAATGACCTCCCGTGAGCACAGGGGCTCCTGGGGAAGGGCTGGCGGCCTCTTCCTGGATCAGACAGTGGGGACTCACCCCGAAGCCAGCCCTTCAGAGTTACGGGCCTGAACTCTGACCCACATTGTAGCTGATTTTCAAACAGCTACAAGGGCTTTACATTTTAAAAGCTGTGCACGTTGAATAATTTACCAACTCAAACACCAGGGACTTATTTCTGGCCAGAGTCTAACAGGCTTCGTGGGTATTGGGTGACAACAGAAGGTCTTGGAAGTGTACACACATGCGTGTGTAAGGCCTTGCCATCTTCTGGCTAGGCTTAGTCTCTGTCTCCAGGCTGGGGTAACAAGAGAAACAGCTTCCTGGGGCTGACACCCTAAGTAGAACACACTGGCTGTTCTTGCTTTCAGACACTTAGCAACACCTTTGGGGTTATAAATGGAGGCAGTTCCAATCAAGCCCACGGGAGCCAGGGCTAACTCCTACTCAGGAGGCACTAAATACGGCTAAACGGCGATGACAGTAACACAAACCGCCTCCAAGGGGAGCGTCTGGGATAGTGAGACAGGAATGCCTGCTTCATACCCTGTCTGCAAAACATCGATGGTCTGATCTGTTGGAAAGTCATAATTTCCCCATTGTCACCAAGTAAAAAGTAAATAATTAAAAAAATGTCTACAACAGAATTCTGGTGGAATCTTTTGGCTGAGAAAAGGAACTGATCCAGCTGAAGACAGACAGACAGACAGAGAAAGGGGAAGAGCAAAGTGTGTGTCCACCATCAGCACAAGAGAAAATTCTGAGCTTTGCCATGAGAACAGCTGGGGTGGGGTTGGAGAGATGGCCCAGGGGTTAAGAGTGCTTTCTGCTCTGGCACAGGCCTCGGGTCCAGCTCCCTGCATCCACAGAGCGGCTCACAACCATCTATAACCCCAGTTCCAGGGGGTGTGATGCCTGCCTCTGGCCTTCGAGGGCACCAGGAACACATGGTAATAATACACATGTAATATATGCACGTAAAACATTCACATGTAAAACACATATACATATATCATATATGTATGTGTGTATGTATGTATATATATGTATGTATACATATATATATATACACATACATATATATATATATATACACATACATACACACATTTTTTTTTTTTTTTGAGACAGAGTTTCTCTGTAGCATTGGCTGTCCTGGAATTCACTCTGTAGACCAGGCTGGCCTTAAACTTACAGAGAGATCTACCTGCCTCTGCCTCCCAAGTACTGGGACCTAGCAGGAAATAGCTTTAAATGACAGGGGGAAAAAAAAAAAAAAAAAAAAAAGGAAAAAAAAAAAAAAGAAGAAGAAAAGCTACGAATTTCTTACTCAAAGAGCTCCTGGCTACTGTTTTAAACATGCACCCCACCCCCCAAAATCAGTTCTTTTCTCTTCTAGAAGCCTGGGTGCCAGTGTCCGTACAACTGACTCCACAGTTCAGTAAACAGAAAGGAATCCAGTTTCCTGTGGAGTAGCAACTTAATCTCCTCTCTATAGAAAGGCTGTCCCTGGAGGTCCACTGCATCCTAACTGCAAAGCTGGACTAACTTCCCTTGTGCTGAGAGCAGCCGCTCTACTGTGTCCTGGGCTCCTGTCCACCCCCTCCCGAAAGCTCTTCCTTACCATGCAACACAGGCATGGTCTGAACCACCATGGTGTTTCTGCTTGAGCAGGAATTTGAGGCTGTAGCAGTCTCAACACAGTGGGTCCCCAAGATATCAAACTGTGCTGAGGACAGTGATGGAGGTTTATGGAAATCTCAGGTCAATTTTGCTCATTATCAAGCCAGAAGAACAGGATTTCTGGCAAACACCCTTAAAATATTGGTCCATGTTGGGAACCGAAAACAAAACCTGCCACATCCACCTGGCAGAGATTGAAGGGTTTATCAGTCTTGGCAGATAAGGTGGCAAAAACCAAAACAAACAAAGAAAACTCCAAAGCAACAACAAAAGGCAGCAAACAAAACCAACACACAAGGCATACTTGGCTTTACGGTAACAAGATGCACGGACATTTAGAATAAAGACCAGAATGATTAACAACTACAAAAACCCCGAAACTCTAAAGACAAGTTAAAATCAAAAAGAGGCAAAATGATTGTAAAATAAGAACTTTTGATGGGAAAGATAAAGATTCCCGCCTCTGATTTCCAAAGTAGGAAAGGGGGTCGGTGACTGACGGGGCCAAGCATATGATTACACCTGGGGTGGCTTTACTTTTATTTCAGCACAGACTCCTGCCCTAGAAGCTGGGGCGTGGGGACACACTGCCCAGGGCTCTACGTGTCTTGTGACTTAAGTTCTCAGCCCTGACTGCTGCTCCCGTACCAAAGTCTACCAACCACAGCTCCTAGGCGGCTGGCGGCTTCGGGCAACTCAAGGCTCTTCCAGCTCCTTCCTTCATTTTGTAGGCACAGACAGAAGAGACAGGGGTCAAACCGCTGAGCATTGAAGAGATATGGTCAAATAAACATTATGGAAACGCTTAGTCGATCGGAAGTTAGTGTTCACTTTTCCTCTACACACCACGGTGGAGCAAACGTCCAGTTGCCTGCTACTGACCTTGTGAGTTCCTCTTGGAGTTGAGTGTGGTCGGGTGGGAAGAATTTCACCACGAACTTAACGACAACATGCTTTGGCCCTGGATAGAACAACAGAAATCATTAGGGTGTGAACGGATGGGTGTTCTCAAAGTCACCAAACAGAGAGACTTCCCAAGGCTCGTCATCATCATTCCAAGGTTCCCAGAGTCCAGCCACACCAAGCCGTCCGGAATGGCCCCAGCTGCTAACTCACACATCTTCAGAGAGACAGGAAATGGTTCTCACAAGGGTTCTATACACATTCGGTGGAGCTAAGCTATGCTTGCGTTTTTAAACCACTCAGCTGTATGTCTCCAGATATTTTTGGTTTGTTGTTTATTTTAAACAGGATCTTACTATGTAGCTCTAGCAGGCTTCCAACTCATGGAGATCTGCCTGCCTCTGACTCCCAAGGGCCGGGACTGAAGGCAAATGCTACTATAGTTGCAGACCAGCTGCCTTTATCTATGGGTAGCCTCAGGTCATCTGAAGGGGAGATAATGAAAATATGAGCCACTCACACAGTGGTTTAGGCTATGTAGCTGTCTACAAAGCCTGGCGTCTACCCCGTTCATCAAATGCGTTTCCAGGTCCCAAGCTATGAGGAGGAAATACAAGAGTTGGGGCTCGGCATACGCCACTGTCGGTCAAGGGCCTTTACTGTCTTGTGCATATTTCCAAGGAGCCGGGACAAAATCAGGAAGTAGCTGAGGAGCAGAGGGAGACTGTGATGGATAGGTCAGAATTCAAGCAGAGCTGAGCCAATTATGATGTAGTGATCTGCAACGCAAGTGAGACTTCTTATTTTTGGTGGATGTAACAGTCTCATAGGGGCTGCCATCTGGGATGACAGCCACATCAGCTGAGTGCTATCAATGGCATGATGGGAGTGAGGGGCATTATGGGTATGTGGTGCATGATGGGTATATGGTGCATGATGGGAGTGAAGGGCAGGAGATTGAACCTAGTGCATGCTCAGCATGTTCTAGATAGCTGAGATACTATTCTAGCTCTATGGAATCCAAATTTTATCAGCAGTGCTTACTACAAAACGAGAAAAGTGCACATCTATGTTTTTCCTATGTCTTGCAATAAACACACGCATATACACACAAAATAGACTTTGTGACCACACGTTCAAGTTTAGGAAGAAACAGAAGTATCGATGTACTCTAAGGTGAAGATGTTGGCCATGTACAAAGAGTTAAGAAAAAGGGACAAGGCATGGAGAGCGGAGAGCTGTGCAGTTGTTAAGGGCGCTGGCTGCTCTCACGGAGGGACCTGGGCTCCATCCTCAGCACCCACACAGCACTCACAAGCAACCATTCCAGGGGATCTGGTGCCCTCTTCTGGCCTCCTTGGGCATTGCATCCAAGAAGTGCACAGATACAGGTGAAATATTCTACACACCCTTTAAGTGAAACTCAGGAATGCCGACGCCAAGGGCCTGGAGACATTTTCAACTTAACTCTAAAATGAGGGGAAATGGTGGCCCAAGCCGTAAGAGTCTAAGGCCAGCCTGGCGTACAGGGAGATGAAGGATGCATAGCGTCAGGGCAAGAGAGGACATGCACCCTTTCACGTCAGTCGGCCATGAGCACAACCACCACGGCGGCATGAGAGAGGCAGAGGCCATCGTCATTTCCACACTCAGGCGGCTGTTCGGGTCCAAAGGGACCCAACGCTAGGAAAATTTCTGTTGTCAATGTTGCGACGGCCTCGTCACACGGGGCCAGTCACAGCACACAGAGGAGGCAGAGCTAACACCCCTGTTCCAGTTAGGACCTCACAGGCATGGATGCTGTGCCACCACAAGGGGACCCCCATGAATCACCAAAGGGCAATCCTGTGGATTGATGGAGAGAAGCATGAATATTCTGGGGCCTGAGCTCTTAGCAGTGTGTCCCGCATCTCCCCCTACTACTAAGTCCCAGACACAGAGGGGTAAGGGTCATTGCTTGACTGCAGTGCTCGGAGACCAGCAGTGATTTCCAGGCGGGAGGGCCCGCAGGCACTTCTGCAAGTCTTTGCATCCGCAGCAACTGCGGGGGTTCGTAGTAATCAGGGAAAGCGAGCTAGGGCGTGGGGCGCAGCTAAAGCCCGCAGCTCCGGTGTCATCCATTTGATCTGGGCCATTCGGGAAGAACACAGCTTATCTCAAAGCAGTGAGAATGTGAGAATGGTAAGCTGGTGCTCGGAGGCCAAGAGACAGGGTGGAAACGTTTCCTATTGTTTTCAGGGCCTTCTTAATCTCTTCTGATATGCAGGATGGACTCACGTTAGGGCTCTGCTTGTCCATCAGATACACACACTCATATGACAGTGACATACACCACACACATTCACCCACACCACACACGCACACACACGCTAACACACACACACGCTAACACACATTACACACACACACACCTCACCCTCACACCACACAGCGCCCATACACTCACATACCTCATACACACACACACACACTCAAACACACCACACACCCTAACACACATCACACACACACCTCACACCACATAGCACCCTTACACTTACATACCTCATACACACACACACCACACATGCACACACCCTAACACACATCACACACACACCTCACCACATACACACATCCTCTCTCTCTCCCTCCCTCCCTCCCTCTCTCTCTCTCTCTCTCACACACACACACACACACACACACACACCCTCACACACTCTCAAATAAGCACATTCTCCTCGGACAAAACAAGCATTCTGATTTCATAGGCTTTGAAGGCAGAGATCAGAAGACCTCAAATCTATTTTATGAATAGAAGGCTCCGCCCTCCCTTCCCCGAGAACATGGCAGTCAAACAGCACGGAGGAGGCAGGCTCAATTATCCTGAGCCTTAATAGTGAGCATTAGTCATTAATCAAGATGATATTTGATTTTCCAAGGGAGGTATTTATTACCAAACTATTATGTATGAAAACGGCAGAAGTTACATATTTTAATAGTCTGTGGGTTGGTGAGTGATGACAGGCTGTCACAAGGGAAAAAAGGATCTGTATCTCTAGTGTTCCGTGTCAGACAGACAGACACCTCCTCACCGGAGTCACCCGGCCTTATGTCTGCCACAGTGGAGAGCGTGAAGGATATACTTACTTCGAATCTGTTTTGCAATGGGCTTCAGGAGGTCCAGCCATACCTACAGAGGGAATAGAACCAAACGAGACAGCTTCAGTGAAAAGTGCAGATTTGGGGACCATTTTAATCTACGAAATGAAAAAATTCTGAGAATCTCAGGTGTTTTCCTCGAGAACATTTTACGCTGCCACCCCCTACAAAACTTTATTATTCTCTGCATGACCATTTTGCCTGCATGTATGTCTGAGCAACACACACTTGCAGTGCTCCCAGTAGCCACGAGAGGGAGTTGGATCCTTTAGAACTGGAGGAGTAGCTGGCTGAGAGGCAGCGTGTGGGTGCTGAATACTGAACTGCAGGCCCTCTCGGAGAGGGCCGCTGCTTCAGCCTCTGCTACGCCTTCTGCATAATCTGCAGAGTCTATGTCTGAACCTGACAATTCAAACCTTTTTAAGGGGCTGGAGAGGGGCAGAGGTTAAGAGCACTGGCTGCTCTTCTAGAGAACCAACCTGGGTTCAACCAACACCCACATGCCGGCTCACAAGGCCTAGTAACTCCGGTTCCAGGGGACCCGACACCCCCTTCCTGCCTGTGTGTGTAGTGCATGGATGTGGTACACTTACATACATGTAGGCAAAACATGTATGTAAATGTATATGCATAGTGTATAGATAGAACACGCATAATAACCACCCTTTCTAAGTTCATATGAACAGCTCACAGGTGGACAGTACGGCCAAGAGTAGAATGCTTGCTTAGCAGACATGAGGCTCAGGGCAATGCAAAAAAAGTTACAAACTAAGAAAAACTCGGGGCTGCTGAGATGGCTGGGCAGCTAAGTCTCCAGGGGCCGCCAGTACAGGCCACAGCACCCATGTCAGGCAGCCCCAGGGGATCTGGTGTTCCAACCTGGGGGCACCTGCAACCTTGCGCACGTACCCGCATGCAGACACACACCTACACCAAGGAAATAATACAAATACTTTCAAAAGCTAAGGCATCTCCTGCTCTTATCTGGGCCTTCATCATATTTCCCCATTCGGGAGATTATTGATGAATGAGTGACGGGTGAAATGATCATATGATTACCGGCTGAGTGAAACACGCACACTTCCTAGAGAGAAGAAATCCATATATGGTCACGTACCCACAGAACAGTAAACCCTTGAGGACAAGGGAGCGGAGTAGGTATTCACACACTACCACACACACATGCTTACCTAGTTTCCTACCTCTCAAAGACAATGGGACTCCTGTAATCCAGGAGAGAAACCCGAGCCATGCTTGGCGCATATAACGTGTCCCAGGTGTCCCAACCAGAACTCAACAAGGCGGACTGAATGGGCCTCACCCACCCCCAAGTCCTAGCTGTTTTCCACCCACACGCTCCCTACACACAGCTTAAATCAGAGAAAAAACAGCTGGCCTCATTAATGAAACGTAAGTTAAGCGCACAATCCCCTTTTATGTATTCTTTTTAAAAAAAACTCTCCTCGAACTACCAGTTAGTTGAAGGGAATTTTCTCTGCACACAGGACAGAAACAAGGTTAAAATTCTCACGGTGAAAGGAAAGGTTAGAAAACACGAGAAGCCACCTGGAGTAATTCATGTCAAGAACGACGGCTATTTGCAAAGAGAAAAATGTCAAACGCAAAGAAGGAAAAGCTGATACGAGGGAATGATTTGTGCTGGAAATGCAAATTAAAACAGTGACAAATGACTGGATACACCATATGTGGTAACCGTGGGTGTGTGTGTGTGTGTGTGTCTGTGTGTGTGTGTCTCTCTCTGTGTGTCTGTCTCTCTCTCTGTGTGTGTGTCTCTCTGTGTGTGTCTGTGTGTGTCTGTCTCTGTGTATGTGTGTGTCTGTGTGTGTGTGTGTGTGTCTGTGTGTGTCTCTGTGTCTCTGTGTGTGTCTGTGTGTGTGTGTCTGTGTGTGTATCTGTGTGTGTATGTCTGTGTGTCTCTGATTGTCTGTGTGTGTGTCTATGTCTCTGTGTGTGTGTCTGTGTGTGTGTGTCTATGTCTCTGTGTGTGTGTGTCTGTGTGTGTGTGTCTCTCTGTGTGTGTCTGTGTGTGTCTGTCTCTCTGTGTGTGTGTGTGTGTCTGTGTGTGTCTCTGTGTGTGTCTGTGTCTCTGTGTGTGTGTGTCTGTGTGTGCATGCCTGTGCCTCCGCATGTGTGGTTGTGGCTGAGGATGACCAGGGCATGGGAGGCCTCACTTTACTCTCATTGCAAGGTGAATGTGTCAGCACAACTTGTCTCTAACTGTCCCAGCCATGTTCTGAAGCTGTCCCTTCCAAACTTCCTGCATCAAGTCATCCGTGTCTGTGAATCATGCATTTGTGCATGCAAAACAGTATCACTAAAGTGCTAATTTTAACATTCTATGACTGAATTTTTTTTTACGATAGCCCAGATAAAACAAGTAAATGGAATAGTGTACATCTACAAGGATGTATTACCGGGCAGGCATTAAGGATTATGCACTTGGTTATTGTTCATTTGGAACAATCTCACTCTGTGTCTGGCCAGCATTCACTATGTAGCCTCGGGTGGGCACGTGAATACAACAGGGCGGTTACCACAGAACTGGAGCTGGTGTAAAGGAGGAAGTTTAGTTCGTGCTGCATCAGGCAGGCGGGCAGGCAGGCTCCTTATCTAAAAACCAATGGGATTTATTGGTAAGCTGCACAGGACAGCTAAAGGAAAAGATCGTGTCCAGAATGATACCAGGATTTCTGCTATGGCATCTGGCCAGTTGCTGATGTCAGTCCTAGGTAGAAAAGGACCAGCCCTTGAGATGCTCCTGGATTATCCAAGAAGATGTGGGAAACAGGAGGATGTGTATGTCTGGAGTTCAGGAGAGGCTGACAAGTAATTTCTCATTTGGAATTTGTTCTGTGTTGAGGTTACAGCTGTGGGGTCCTGAGAGCAGCCCCTCATAGGCAGAGACGAATCCTTTGATGCCTGCCTTAAGCCACCTGCGCTGCTATAACAAAATGCCACAGGCTGGTTGGCATATTTTAGTTTCACCATGGAAGAACACGGTAAACGGCCCAGCACACCTGGTCCCTCCCTCCCTCTCGCTCCATCTCTTTCTGAGATGGGATGCTACTATGCAGCTTTGTCTGGCCTGGAACTCAGTAGGCAGACCAGGCTGGTCATGAACTCAAGAGATCTGCCTCTGCCTCCTGAGTGCTAGGATTAAAGGCGTGTGCCACCACACAAGCTCCTCTGACCTATTTTAAGTGGACCCTACACCATCCACAAGGGCTCCATCCACATGGCCATTCACCTCTCAAAGGCCCTGCCTCCTAACACTATTTATTGACTTGTGGCTTAGGATTGCGACACACAAGTTCTGCAGACGTATAACAGTCAGGAGCAGAAAGGAACGGTCTTGTGACCCAGGCAGTGTGTTCGATCAGAAGGATGAGTATGACAGCTGGTAAACCGGAGGTGTTTGCCAGCACACCTGTGAGTCAGTCAGTTCTGGGGTGACCCTGGAAGCCCTGTGGGCAGAGAAGGGATGTGAGCTTTCCTGAGTATCTCCGTTTGTGGTGATGTATTATTTATGATTTAATAAAGATTGCCTGAAGGATCAAAATGCAAAGCCAGCCACACCAGCTGGCTACAGAAGCTGGGAAGTGGTAGTACACACAGCTTTCATCCCAGGACTCAGGAGGCAGAGGCAGATGGATCTCTATGAGTTCAAGACCACCCTGAGCTATACAAGATTGAACCAGTCTAACAGAGAAACAGAGCTCAGGCTTTAATCCCAGCCCTAGAGAGGTATATATAAAAAGGCAGGAGCCCAGCGACTCGGGCTGCACTCTGAGATTTAGTCTCCAGCCACGCTGAGGAGAGGCATCAGCCTGAGGCTTGGTGAGAACTCGTGGACCCTGGATCGCCTTTCAGTCTGAGCTAGAGGTTAAGAGCGAGTGGCCGGCTGCCTTGCTTTTCTGATCTCCAGGTTGAAGCTTAAACCCCAATATCTGTCTCTGGGGTTTTGTTTTTCGTGCACCATCTGCTGTGAGGGAACAGAATGGGAAATGCCGTCTGTAAGTCAGAAAGGACTCAGGTAAGACTCGCGAAGGCGAGGGAGGAGCATGCGGGCAAGGAGAGCCGGGAGACCTCGGCGGGTGTGAAGAGAGGGGACCACGACACCGGCAGGGACCACAAACTACAGTTGGTATACTGTCAGAGAGGAAAACATGTCCAAGGCTGACCCAGGGAGGGTGTGTGTGTCGCTGCTTCCCTATGAAGTCAGAGGCCCCCAGGCTCAGGGGGGAAATGCTCCCAGTAGTCATGGTGTGAGAGAGGGTGACTTATCCCGAGACGCGGGGCCCTCAGTCTCTGTAGTGACACCGAGGATGCTCGCAGAACACGCCTAAACTTCTGCAAAGGGCGGATCTTCCGCTTGCCAGCAACAGAGGTGCCAATTTCATGAACTGTTTCTAAACATCCCTCCCTCAGCTTTTGGTATTTCTCTGGAAGCATCAAATACACATGACGGTTTGAGCCAAATCAAGCATGTGGTTTTACGGCACACGTGGCTGTGAACACGGACTCCATGTGAGTTAATCAGGCAGGGGCTGAGGAGCCCCCTACAGTGACACCACCTGGCGGCATCAATCATACCCCACTGAGCCAGCTGGGGTGGGGGAGGTGCCCGGCCCCCCTAGCAATGGACAGCTGAGGGAGATGGGCTCACCTGTTGTCTTGGTTGGGGGCGTCTATGCCTGTGACACCAGAACACCAGGACCACGGCAGCTCTTATAAAGGAAAGCATTTAATTGGGGCTGGCTTACAGCTCAGAGGTTTAGTCCATCACCGTCATGGTGTGGCACAGCGGCAGACAGGCAGATGTGGGGCTGGAGACGGAGCTGAGAGTCCCACATCTTGATCCCCGGCAGCAGTGCTGTGAGACACTGGCCTCTGAAACCTCAAATCCTGCCCCCAGTAACACACTTCCTCCAACAAAGCCACATCTACGCCGACAAGGCCACACGGCCACTTCCCACGAGCCTACGGGGCCATCTTCTTCCAAACACACCA